CAGATTTAGTCATGTTTGCGACCATTTACAAACCATCACTTATAATGATAACTGAGGTATGGACCACCAGTAATATTTCTGATCTAAATATATCTCTTGAAAACTATGACCTATTTCTAAGTAATAGATTACAAGAACGAGGTAGAGGATGCCCCCATATATTCACACTGTAGCCTAAACTCACTCTAATGTAATATACAGGAACTAAACAAATTACAAGATTCTGTATAAATCGTTCTGAAACCCTAAAATGCAGCTTCCTTACTGTTCGTCTGTATTTTATCTTCAGCCCAATGCACCGACTAGGTATCTATCGAAATTGTCAAAAGTATTCATTTTTGCTTCATCCCTATCGTTTACAGGCAAGGCTATTCATGGGAACTCCAACAGACCTCAAATCTCTTGGTTCCTAATCAAAGCACCTAAACGATTTGAACCAATTATTGAATGCTTAGAATATGGAGTGGACTCAATCTGTTGAAGGCCCAACCAGATATCAAAATATATTTTACATTTCACCAGCCATCTCATTCCTGATACTGTATATGTTGGAAAAAAGTTTCCAGGTAGCGATCATAATATTGTCATACGCAGTTCTTGGTATACAAGCCACAACTATAAAACGCAATTCCATTACACTTTGTTTGGACCTCCGTAAGACTGATTGAGCGAACTTCCGGAATTGCCTCAGAAGCATTGACTGAACTATCAAGGTTATCGTAAACAATACCGACGAACTGATAAATGTGATTTATCGTAAAGCAAATAATATCTTCAATAAAATCGCACCTTCAGGATCCTGGAGATGCAGAATTTATAAGGACTTATATATGCCAGGTCATATACGAAGATGTCTCCGAAGACACGTTTCTAGACTTCATAACGGTAATGACTTCTCATAAGTTACGATGACAGAAATATGTGTTGAGGCAAAGGTACTACGTAATAGAAAGACAACTGAACAGGAAATGCGTACTGTTCAGCTGAATAATGAATCTTCTGCACTTATTAAAATCCTTCGAAATCAACATAGATGCTCTAGAAGTGAGAGGAGTGAGCGTACTTATTGATGACAGCTGAGTGTATGAACACACTAAATGTATCGCAGAGCTCTTAGCGGATATTTTTGCGTTTCAGTAACTAACGGAAACCCAGAAATATAATTACACGTGACCTCAATACACTCCTGTGAAGTTATCAACGTAGACATCAGTGTACAGAACATTTCCAACACGATTAGCACACAGAAGCACTTTCATTGAAGGGCCAGACGGTATCCTAGCCAGAATGCTGGTATCCGGAAACTCTACTTTCTTGACACAAACTAACTGATTCAAATCACGGGATATACAAACTTACAAACAACTGCCGACTGATTAGAACTAGCGCAGTCAAGTAACTGGACCCTCATCCACTGGAAACTCGTGAATATCCATAGTCGTATGAAAAGAACAAGAATCTATCGTAAAGAAACTAATTATTTATACTAGCTCGATAAGAAGTCAATTGAAATTAGATAGTAAACGTGACCTTGGAACATTTACAAATGCTGCGTAGCGGGAGTAGGGCGGATGGCATTGGGACGATGGAACAAGCCTCAGCAGAAGCTAACATGTTACCAAAGAGTAATGACGTCTACGTATGTGGATTCAATATGTCAAGCCTAACTCCTAACGGGAGACTGGTTGTTGCGATTGTTGGGATTTTCATTCTGTATATATGTTTCGGCGCATTACAGGTCCGTTCACAAATAATTCATTATTACATATATCGTTTGAGTTTATTTATCTCAGTTGATTCATATGTAAAACTCAGTGTTTGCCTAGTGAGTAGTTACTGAGGTACATGTCCGCGGATCTGTGTTTGTATATTCATTCAGATTTTTCAAATGCATATGGAAAATATTATGCTATGTTCACACATACCACTGAAGGTTTCCTTCCGAAGCTTCTCAATGTTACTTAAGCTTAACTGTTACCTTCAAAATACCGTAGGATTTCCGCTAAACCTCGAAACACTTATTTTGTGTGTCATTCGTAGAAGAATAATTTAAGATAAACAATCAGCTAACAAGTATCTAGTCTTCAGTAGGTATTAAACGTAATTTTTACCGCGATAACTGTTAGTTTATGTTTGTTGAATGAAGTATGTTTTACAATGCCACCTCTTAGTAAAACTCATACTGTAAACATTATTTAAACATATTTTACAGTTTTATACCTAGAAAACATCGTTATCTACTGATCACTCGATACGCTAGTCTTTATACCTTTTTATTAGTCAATAAATACGTCTTAATACTGCTCAGTAAACTAACCACCCCAAATGTATCATTAGTTAGGACTTTGAGGCTTTTATTCCCAATAATCTAATCACTACATGCATCTCTTTAAATTCTGTCTCAATATTTCCCAGTTTATCGGGCTAAAACTTAATTAGCTTTAAAATCGCGTTCACGGTGATGCAGAAATAATGAACCTCAAGATTTCTTAATATTATTCATTCACTTGAAATTACCAGGTTTCGTATAAATTGGGTCTTATCAATCTGTAGTTTATTTAATCATTTGCCAAATATCTTGATTTAAAATGCGTTCAATGTATTAGTGTAAAAATTACGTAAAAATGTAAACAATTTCGAAAGTTGCTGATTATATTTCAACCAATAGGTCAATTATTTGAGTCCATTTCACATACCTCATTTCCGGTCGACAACCGTATTGCTAGAAGTTACGTCACATAGAACAATTTGGGGATGAAGTTAAATATATGCCTCTAACCAGGATTTTTATGTTGTTTACACCGCATACAACTTGATAATCGCTGTTTGTTAAAAATGTGAAGGCTACTCACAAAGAATCGTTATGAGAAAAGATGACACGAAAACTATTTTACCCCGTAAGCTCAAAAAAATAAACATTCGTCATCAGTGCAATCACCATAAAATATACCACAGAAGCTCTGCTGTGCATACTCTGTTGCTGAATTGTAAATAAAATTGGGCTAGACATTTGGTCAAAAACAAGATAATAAAAAAGTTTTCTGAGCTTCTTCAAAACCTTAAAAACTGGTACTCAGGTAGACGTCGGTATTATTACGTATAATGAAAGTGGGAGCTTTTGATAAGATCATTCCCTTCGAAGTTCGAGACTACCGAAAAGATTCACCTAAACCATATATACTCCACCATATCATTAGCTCCTCGTTAAATTTATAATACTATACCTCGATTTGTTTAGCAGTTTTTATTTTGAGAGTTTAACAGTTGAAACTAACCTTAACTAAGGTAACACCTGTCATAAATGACATTTAAATGCACTTTAAAAACTAAAAATAATGTAATATTTGTTCTATCTGTATACAGAGAGACAGATACAACACAGAACTTCGTACGTATGTACATCAGTTCAGGTTGCCACTGGCACAGAGACGCAACTGTCAGTTCAAATCACATAGTGGTAGCGATAACAGAAGTATTAGCAGTAATGGAGAAGATTAGGGTATAATTCAGTGAGATAAATTTAGAAAGTGAAAGATAGAGGCGATGAGGAACTCAGAAGGTTAGAATTTGAGAGAACACAAAGAGTGGATGCACCTGCACCATTGCAAACGATTTTGAGCCATGTCGTTCAAGGTCTCTAACCATTGGTGAATTTCGTCTCGCGGAACCCAACCAGGTAGCCTACATCTACCAACATGACTCAGTCCACTTGTCAGTGACTTCATGTATTCCTGGCATGTTTTGGTTTGGCGGCCCCTAGCTATCTTCCAACCTACTCCTACACCACAAAACAGCTCGACGCGGCAGTCGGTGGCTATGCATACGTAACACATGTCCCAACCACCTCAACTGATGAAGTTTCAATACTTCATCTATTGATCTGCCATCCTTACCTAGCACCCGTTTCCTAACAACAACTTGGTTGTCTCATGATACACGAGCAATGCTGCAGAGCCACCTATGATCGAAAACCAATAGTCTACGAATATCCTCTACTCTCACCGGCCATGTTTCGCAGCCATAAATTAGGACAGAGCGAACTGTTGCACAATACACTCGTCCTTCGGTTAGCAATCGGATATCTCGCCCACCTCATAAGTGACGCAGGTTTTCGAAAGCCAAACGAGCATTCTGTATCAGTTCTGAGATTTCGTCAGTCACTAGGCTATCAGCACTGATGAGACTCCCGAGAAAAGTGAAGTGGTGATTGAGACCGGTCAGATGGATTACGCCTGGTTCCCAAATTCTACCTAAGATCTCAGTCAATCTAACTATTAAAGCTGAACCCCAATCTTTAAAAATCCTAAGGGTCAATCTATCAGGACCCGCTTCTCTCCGTCGTTTAAAATTTCCTATAGATTTCTCAACTTCATTAACAGTCGGAGGACTTATATTGATTTGCCATTCAGGATGACTGAAGACCGTGTGGCTGAAGGCCAGTTGAACTGATCATTGAAGTTTTCCACCCATCGCTTCAATCACCTGGATGAATGAATGAAAGAGCCATTTTCTGAGATAGTTTCGCTAACAAATGGATTTGTAATACCAGTTTCCTTGATGAGGCGGAGTTGTCTGTGATGAAGGAATGTGAGAAGAGTTAGTCGTGGAGCTAAGAGAGATGTTAAGGGGTGGACTAAGGATTTAATTATGACCAATTCGGTCTCGCGTTCTTTCAGATGGTATGAGGGCAGATGTCTCTTCTCGGCTGTCCACACCATGGAAGGGTGTTTCTTGAAGAACCTGAAAATAAAGGTAGATTAGTGTTAGTCTTAGGGACCTGGGGGCGTAACCGCAAAGCCTTTTTATGAGAAGTTTTTAAAGTGTTGGCTCCGCTCTTGTTTAAAAGGCCCTACTGCCGTAGATGGAAATCCGCGAGGTAAGATGAGGTGTGAAATTTTTAAGGTCGAACTTTTCTAACCTTTCTTTCTTTGTGAGAAGGCAGCATCGTTGCAGATGCTGGTTTTCCGAGAGAAACACCTTACTGCTGTTACAACCCTCCACAGTCAGCAGGACGACTTTTCCTTCAGACCTTGAGTAGCTGCTTTCAGTCTCATGGTTCTCCAATCGACTTGTCCGGCATGGTAGAACCTACAGTAACATATGTTCCAGTCAAAATATAGCTTGGTTGGGTCATCACGATAGGCAAGCGTGACCATCATGTTGAGGTAGCAGCTATGATGGGGCAACAGATTTTAGTTTCATAAGAGTGGAAATTTCCGGATAGTAGCTCTGTTTTAGTGGCAGCTACGGTCGGGTCTCTCCTATTCCATAATTTATGTCACTAATGGTATAGGCGAGATGTCTGTTTGCTCAGTGGTTCGCTGCATCCTACTATATGGATGCGGAACATGGCTAATCAGAGTAGACGATGTTCGTAGGTTACTGGTTTTCGACCATAGGTGTCTTCGAAACGTTGCTCATATATCCTATGACAATCGAGCTAGCAATGCCCTTGCTAGGAAAAGGGAATTAAGCAAGGATAACAGATCAATAGATGAAGTATTGAAACCTCATCAGTTGAGGTGGTTGGGACATGTATTACGAATACTCAACGACCGACTGCCTCAACAAGCGATGTTTTGTGGTGTAGGAGTAGGTTGGAAGAAAGCTAGGGGTGGCCAAACCAAAACATGAAGTCACTGACAAGAGGACTGAGTCATATCGGTAGGTTTCGACTACCTGGTTGGGATCCGCGGGATGATAGTAATCGATGGTTAGAGACCTGGAATGACATAGCTCAAAATCGTTTGCGATGGTGCAGGTGCATCCACTCTTTGTGTTCTCTCAAATCCTAATCTTCTGAATTCCTCATGACCGTTTTTTCTCTCTTTTTTTCAAATTCTTCTGGGATATACTTGTCGAATGATATCTTCGGTCAGTAATCTTTTTAGTTTTTGTTAATACTTCTACTACCTCTACTGCTATGGGATTCGATTAGACGATTGCATCTCAGTGCCAATGTGGTAAGGCAACTTGAACTGATGTACGTACGTACGAAGTTCTACGTAGTGACTGGCTGACCTTTTATTGAATAGATAAATTTACAAAATATCTGTGTGAGTGATTATATTCATATCATTAAGTAACATAACCTGATGTTTTAACAATATAGTCTTTATACAGTTTTCAGCTTTTATAAAATAAGATTGAGTCACTGCATTGCTTGCCCCAGATAAGTTTTGAAATTTAATTTTGTAGACAATAGTTTGGAGGAATTATATTGAAGACTTTTAAGATTATTGAGTCTCCTACCTGGTAATGTTTTAGTGGTGTTATCATTCATTTTCACCTTTAACAGTTAACTGATATCGTGTTTCTATCTCAAAAAGTTGAACATTATATTTTCATTGTAGGAGGCTATATTCTCTGCCAATGATTTGCGATCATATAGTCCATTCCTTACTCTATATCAATTTGGAATATATTCAGTTTTATCATTTTTCGAACTACGCGCTCGTGGTTATTTGGTATTCCAGTAAAGTTTAAATTATAATATTTGATATAAGTTTTACATATTCATCTATCTAGATCATGGATACATCTCTATACTGTTATAGCTGTATTGACATTGGGTTCCATTGCATTTTCTAATGCTTCAGTCGGTTTTCTTAACTATCCAACCCAAGTGATATTTAAATGCTGTAAAATGATCCCAGTTTTGTTGGGTGGAATTTTTATACAAGGTAAATCAAACTAAGGTTTTTATAATTTCCGACTAGGAAAAAGATATTCCATTTATGAAGTATTAGCGGTGCTTCTGATGACGTTAGGATTAATTTGTTTTACTTTAGTCGATGTTTCTATACAGCCGAAGTTCACTATGTTTGGTAAGTGTATTTCCTACGCATTTTTGTGATTATTCAGATTAACCTTAGTCTTAATCATTACAATGGCATTTCTTTGTATTATGATATGCGCTTGAAATAGGGAAACAGATAAGTGTTTTTCACTTTTAGGACTACCTATATTTAGTTTTTCGGTCACTTTTGGAAGTAAGCTATCGAAATTAGTTTGAAATTTTGTTACAATCATATGGGCGTTTGCAGGTTGATAATTATCCTAGCGAACGACAGAGTTAAACGTATTTTCAAATACAAAAATAATATCAGACACCTAGATTGATTAATACTTAATTCTTAATCAAATCGAAGCCAGAATGAAATATTTTCTTTTGCATTAATTTTATTAATATGGTTTATATCATTAGTTAAATATTCTTCTGAAATCCTTAAATTGACGACATTCTTAATGTTTGAAGTAATTTTATTGTATTACAAATTGATATTGAAATACTTTTTTCCGATAATAAAAAATATTCAGCTTAGGTGTATGCTTTTTGGTGTTCTATTCCAGTCTAAATTTCACCGTAGTAATTTAAGGTAAATTTATTGGCTGCTGAAAAATTTCCTGTGGTAGAAAACATTATCAACAACATAGTGTTGTGGAATTGGTTCAGTCTCATTGAAATCATGAACCAGTAAATGTCAAACCACCTCATAAAACCTGGGAGCACTAGATAGTCATTTCGGAAATTCCTGGAGTTCTAGTGTAAAGTCATGATCAGTGTAGTTCAACCATGTAGAGTGTCAGACAGTTATCCAACAAAGACATGAAAGCTAGTCATGCGATATGGTGGATTGATTGAAGTTAATTGTTAATACTACTAAATGCTGGCTCAGTGGTTTAAAGATTAAACGTTCGTACACTAGACTGGGTTCGATCCAAGCTCGCGGGTTTGTGGATGCCCATTGCTGAGCAGTTGCGTACTTAGACGAAACGGCCATCTAGTTCTTCTAGCTTTCGAATTGCGGTCTAACTTAAATCAGTCCATGATTTCAGTGAAATGCTATCAAATAAAGCATTCATTACTACTATAATTAAACATGTAATCTAAACTGCTGACTGAAAACTAGGCTCTTTAACCACTAAGCTACCGTTTCACCATAACCGAATTGAAATTCCAGGTTTTTAATGGTTGATTAGTTAAGATCAGTTCGTGTTTCAACCGTGAAAACTGAAATTTGCTGCGGCTGTGGTTATGTCATCGGATTCCTCTAAAAATAAAGTTAATCAAATTTTTGTGAACATTACTGAAGTTCAGTGTGATTACATTCGTCATGTTAAGATACTGAAACCATCCCTATCCAGTTAGATAAGGTTTTCAGTTTAGGATTGTGGAAACTGCTGAAATTCATTGAAGTCATGAACAGGTCAGTGTAGGACCGCCATTGATGACCTACAAGCACTGGTTGGCCGTTTCTTTGATTCATGATGTCATTATTTGTATGAACTATTTATAGTATGTTACGTACAATTTTTCTTGTCATTTTTCTGAATTCAACCAAAGAAATGAAATTCTTTATGAATTCCAACCAACGCTGTTTTAAATGAAGCGTCTTTCCTATTGTAGGAGTTTTTCTAGTTTCTCTCGCATTATGCTGTGATGGAGCTTTAGGTAATTTTCAAGAAATTGTCATGAAGAAGTATCTTAAATCAAACACAGAGATTGTAAGTTAAATCTGCTCATAATGTTTAAAATTTTTGCTGAAATTAATTACCACTTTTATATTTTCCATCAGACACCAACTTTATCTGGACAACTATTGAAATTACAAATGGAAAATTCTCAGTAAATCTATTGTTCTAAGAGTTATGGGTTAAAGTCGATAACGAATGATGATTTTTGGTTGGTTGGATAGAAGACTGATCTGTAAATAAAGGCAATGCTAGCATGTGTTAGTGATTGCTATTCACATAAAGGAATATTGTCTACAAGCTCTAAATGAATCAATATCAAAAACATCAGCACGAGGCAAAAGAATAAGTTTTTATCTCATAGAAATCTTTATCTGTACACAGACTTCGGGCGAATAATTATACGACCAGATGTCATAAACAGCTGTAGAATATTAGCTTGGTTAATCACGATAAATTGGTTCTTAACCATCAAGGTTAACTTTTTCCATTCATTAACATTCATTGTATTATAGTACTTTTTGTATCCCGAAAATTTTCGAAGAACAAGTTGAATAATCATGTCCTTCAAATTATGAGTTATACAGAAACTGGTTCACGAAATCTGTAGCTGTTTATTTTACTTATGTCCATCAATACATTCTTTCATCGCTATAAGTTGAATCATTTAAATAGCATTTTATTAGGAATATTTTACCCTTCGTTTTAATGTCTCCTAATCAAATGTTCCTCTTTTTAATTTCTCCAAAATGGAATAATATTTCAGTTATTTTATTCATATTCTGTGGGCTTTTGTTTACTTGCCTCCGTTCTAACAATATCTGGAAACTTGTTACCATCGTTCTATTTTTTTAATGATGTAAGTATTAGTTAGTTGTTTCATGGAGCTTATGTTGATTCAGTAAATTTTTTCATATTTGTTCATATGTGAAGTACTTTTAAGAGGATATTATCATTTTTTATCCAACAGAGAACTAGGAAAATCCAGGTGACAATCAATGTCTGTTTATCCGTAGTTCAGAATCTAGCACTATAGACCTACATCCATGTCATTGGTCGAATGAGAACTTCATGATCAGTTGATTTCAGCCATGTCAATTGTAAGAGATATATTCATTGTTACTACCATTAATACTACTGATAATCCTGCTACTCTGAAAATAATCTTGATAGTTTCATCTCACTGTACTGATTTAGTGTGGCAACCTGGAGTGATGTCCATTCCTACATGCTCTTATGTTGCTAACTGACTAAGGCATATATCGCTGATATTGTCAGCGATTATCTAATTATGTGGCTCGGTAACTTGAATCGAAAATATAAATCACCAAACTCTGATCCAATATTCTTAAGATATCATACTCAATGATAGTTTAGTAGTTGAATCAGTTAAATTTCGAACTCCGTTCTACCTATTTGAGTTTAGTCGACCAAGTAGTGTTCCCATACTTCACACAAATAAAATGTGGGGGGAAATATGAGTACATAACTCTGCACTTAGTATATGTATAGAACTACTATGGTTTCTGAAATATCTAAAGGTCATTGTGGATAACATTATAAGTGTTAGTTGCAGAGGCGCTTCAAAATACGAAAAATCAATTTCTAATAATTCCAGTCGTAAAGTATCTTAGCATTAATAAAAAATAACCTTAAAATTAAACAATCTTCTACTAAAATTATATCCTCGAAACGGGATAGTTTCGTTATGAAATATCCACTGTTTTACTAAACAATGTCAACAATAAAAACTTTTAGAAAAATAATGAAAGTTTTACTTTTAAACCACCAAGTTTCGATTGTGTTGCAATGTGATTGAATGAATTCCTGAACATTGTTTTTCTAGACAATGAAATGAATAATAGGAGTTGTCAACATACTATGATTCGTGTTGAACTGAAAACATAATCACCAACAGCAACGTAGAACTTCGTACTTACGTACATCAGTTTAAGTTGCCATACCACATAAGCACAGGGGTGCAATTGTCACTTCAAATCCCATGGTTATAGAGGTAGTAGAAGTATTAGCTGTAAGCGCAAATTTTAGGGTTCGACGATATTATTCAAGAAGTAGAAGCTATTAAATTAAACTTAAAAAAAAGGTAAAGGTGATGAAGATCTCTGAAGGTTACGATTTGAAAGAACACAAAGAGTGGATGCACCTGCACCATTGCAAACGATTTTGAGCTATGTCATTCAATGTCTCTAACCATCGGTGAATTTCGTCTCACGGAACCCAACCAGGTAGCCTACATCTACCAACATGACTCAGTCCACTTGTCAGTGACTTCATGTATTCCTGGCATGTTTTGGTTTGGCGGCCCCTAGCTATCTTCCAACCTACTCCTACACCACAAAACATAGCTCGACGCGGCAGTCGGTGGCTATGCATACGTAACACATGTCCCAACCACCTCAACTGATGAAGTTTCAATACTTCATCTATTGATCTGCCATCCTTACCTAGCACCCGTTTCCTAACAACAACTTGGTTGTCTCATGATACACGAGCAATGCTGCAGAGCCACCTATGATCGAAAACCAATAGCCTACGAATATCCTCTACACTTAGTGGCAATGTTTCGCACCAATATAGTAGGATGGAGCGAACTGCTGCGCAGTACACTCGTCCTTTTCTTAGCAAACGGATGTCTCCCATATGCCATAAGTGACGTAAGTTGGCAAAAGTAAATCGAGCTTTCTCAATCCGTGCTGAGATTTCGTCAGTCACTAGGCTATCAGCACTGATGAGACTCTCCAGATATGTAAAGCGGTCAACATGCGCAACTGCTTTACTTCCTATCACTAGTTAAGGTGCCGTCTCAAGCCAATCCTGCAGCAACATTTTGCATTTCGATGTGGAAAAATGCATCCCTAACATGCTTGCATTGTTGCCTAGGGTAGTCAGAAGTCTCTGCATTTTGTCAGCATCTTCACCAAGTAGGAATATGTCATCGTCATATTCTAAGTCGGCAAGCGTGTCTTCTGGTAGAGGGTCTACTCCTTAAAAGTCGGACGATGATGTTAATACCAGAAGCATGACCATGACAAAGTTTTACAAGAATTGAGACAGTGGACATCCCAGACGGACTCCACTTGAGGTAGAGATTTCCGATGAGAGTATGCCATAATCTTGCACCCGACCAGTAGTGTTCGAGTAGAGAGCTTGTATAAGGTTAATGTACTTCTTTGGTACACGTTTTAATGACAGACACTGCCACAGAACCTCACGATCAACAGAGTCAAATGCAGCTTTTAGGTCCAGGAAGATAACAATTTTCGGACGCTCAGACATCCACGTCCGTGTCTGAAACCAGGCTGGTTTTCTCTAGTTTGCTCTTCGCGAGCTCTAGTTAGGCGTGTAAATATCATTGAGGCTAACAATTTAGAAACTATATTAGTTCGACTTATTCCCCTGTGATTGTCAGAAGAAGACTTTTGTCCTTTCTTATATATTAGGACATTCAGGGATTGAGACCGGTTGGATGCAATTACGTTCAATTCAAAAATTTTCCTAAGATTTCAACCAGTCTGATTGTTAGAGCTGGACCACCTTTAAAAATCTCAAGAGTCAATATGTCAGGACCTGCTACTCTCCTTCGCTTTATATTTTCTATTGCTTCCTTAACTCCGTATGGAGTTGAACAACTTACTTACGTTCGTACGAATTTCTACGTTATAACTGGCTTGATTGATTGACTGTCACTTAACGCGCTGTCTTTACCATCGCTTTTGCTTTCGCGAGCCACCACTGTTCGTGATCATTGCGTAGGCTTTTATCAGCCTGCGCCTAATCTGACTTCGCTCCTCATCGCACTCAGAGCCAGGCGGGATGAGCTTCCGAGCATCCATCAGTTCCATAGATGCTACTGAAGTCCACGTCTTCTACCCAACCTTATAGTTTACCTTACTATCATATATCCTGCTGTTTCCACAGCCTTTTTGATATCATTCCAGGCTGCCCAGAGTGAGCATCACTCAAAACATGGTCACTTAACTGTTTTTCCACTTGTTACTGAAACATATTCTTAGCTTTATTATTATTAAGTAGAGCCCTAAAAGGTTTCCGTGCGATATTTTTCCCACTTCCAGTAAGACGCAAACAAATGTGCGCTCGCATTAGAGCATGGTCTGAGTTTAAACAAGTGCTCCAGAATGAGCGGCAGTCTTCAACAGAGCCTCTCCACCGATGGCTTATATCGATGTGATCTAGTTGGGTCGGCTTTGGCGGTTTCCAGCTCAAAAGGTGTTTTACCTTATGCTTGAAGTTAGTGTTTACTAGGATTAGGCGGTTATCTGAGCATAGCTGCAGCACACGGTCGCCATTATCTGTTCTATTAGTCGCGACACCATAAGATGCATCCAGGTGTCTTTACTCTTCGTTCAGTCTACCTACTTGAGCGTTAAAGTCACCAACGATTATCACTATATCAGAGCGCTTGACATTTTGGATAAGTTTAGAGAGGTTTATATGGAACGAATCTTTCATGTCGTCTGAAATTCAGTCAGTGGGGCGTAGGCAGATACAGCGAAGAGGCAACGGCGAGTGTCCCTGTCCTTCCGAGTCCGTACTGTCCCGTTTAGTTGGACAGCGCATAAGCGACTGTCTATCGAGGTCCAGTGTAAGAGAGCTAGTTCTGACCTAGGACCTGGTACTATACATATGGCGGCGAGGCCACGGGAGGCAACATCAGGGTTACCTAAAACACGAAATGTAGACCGTGTTGTGTCTCAATCTTCACTAAGTGAGATCAAATCGATGATTTTACTCGGATCTTGTATGCGCGTTTCGGAGACTCAACATACATCGATCGCCCGGGATTCCAGAGTTCTAGCTAATGAAGTCTGTTGCCCTATTTGACACAATGTCCGTACAATAAAGGCTCCAATATGTAATTTAATACGGGGTTTCAAGATGCCAGGATTAATATTTCGTGCGCCCAAACCGTTTGCTTCAGCGGCGCTACGTGAAAAATGATCGAAGGAAGAGTTGGTCAAAGAGATTGGAGTGATTAGGAGGTGTAGAAAGGATTTGATTGTGACTGATTTGGTCTCGTGTGCTTTTATGGGGTCTGAGGGCGGATGTAACTTCTCGGTTTACATCAGGAGACGTCAATAATACTTTTCTAAATGAAGACCTATCTCTCAGAGCAGAGTTCATAGGGTTTGAATTATTTTTTCTCGTTAACGTTTTTTGGCAAGTTTTTTTCCGGAATGGCTTCGCTATGCCACATCCCAACCCTCCTCCTTTATTCGGGCTTGATACCGGCAGTAAACGCGAAGGGTCTATAGGCTGAGTCGAAATGAAATATCAAAGTTTGTCTTTCTAGCAAACTCATCTTTTGAAATCTGTTGGTTAACCATAATTTTTTGTTTTAATATCCGTTTATTAATAGCGGAAAACTATACGTTTTCGGTTGACGTTACTTTTAATGAATAACCTGTTCTCATTCCCTTTTTTTAAAAAAATCACTATTTATATTCATAAAACATTAAAATGAAAAACGAATATCTCCTCTTTAAAAATGGATTTGATGGTAAATCATTATCATTATTATTATTATTGTTAATGTTATCATCATTTCTTGTTTAATTCTCTATAAGATATCTGTTTAAACAATATCATTTTTTATGTACTTATTTCTTCGATCAGCATGCATTGCAAACTTATGGTTATGGTTTTATATTTTCATTGTCCGGTTATTTCGGTGTACAATTTGTACTTTGTTTGGTTCACTCACATGGAGCATTAACTGCTGTTACGGGTAAGAGAAAATATTCTCTATTTCAACTAATTATTATTAGTTGTACATGTGTTGATAAATATATTTTTCCAAAAGATTTTATTGCTGCATTTTTAATTCATCATTTCACTTATAATTTTAAAAATAAAATGTACTACTATCATTCTGAAAAAGGTCAACATTTCTATTCAGTAATGATTATTTTCAAATTTTATCATCATTTTTCTTTGATCATTTATATATTAGGTTCTACGTTGCTTTTAACTAACTTCGTGTAAGCACATATATGTTAGCTTTATCCTTTGTCACGTCCCGACTCTTGCTGCTACCTTGATGCAGTGTTCGGGCTTGCCTATCGTGATGACCCAACCGAGCTATATTGACTGGAACATATGTTACTGTAGGTTCTACCATGCCGGACAAGTCGATTGGAGAACCATGAGACTGAAAGCAGCTACTCAATGTCTGAAGGCGAAGTCGTCCTGCTGACTGCAGAGGGTTGTGACAGCAGTAAGGTGTTTCTCTCGGACAACCAGCATCTGCAACGATGCTGCCTTCTCACAAAGAAGGAAAGGTTAGAAAAGTTCGACCTTAAAAATTTCACACCTCATCTTACCTCACGGATTTCCATCTACGGCAGTAGGGCCTTTTAAACAAGAGCGGAGCGTGACCGGCCTCAAGAAGTTGTCCGTTGGGCTTTGCGGTTACGCCCCCCGGTCCCTAAGACTAACACTAATCTACCTTTATTTTCAGGTTCTTCAAGAAACACCCTTCCATGGTGTGGGCAGCCGGGAAGTGACCTGGGCCCTCATACCCGTAACAGCACACGAGACTAAATTGGTAACAATCAAATCCTTCCAAAGCCTCTTAGTTACTCTCTTATCTCCATGACTAACCTTTTACACGTTCATTTGTCACTATCCATCCTTAATACTAACGAATTAAGCACACTGAATGTTCTTCCTGGTCTCCTAAAACTCTGCTCTGAACTACATGTTGAAGCTTATAACGTCCGAAAACTGTGCCAACTAAGACAACAAGCTTCCTTAGCTAGGAATCGGGAATCCGAGTACAGTGATTGAATTGACTTTACTTGTTCAGATAAGGAACCAACTTGGTTTACGCTCCGTGTATCTGGTTGCCTTGATGTTGCTTCCCGTGACTTCGCTAATGTAGGTATAGCATTGAGCCCTAGGGCAGATCTAACTTTCTTAGATTAGATTCCAGTAGATAGTCGCTTGTGCGCTCTCCGACTAAACGGAACAGTAAGGACTCGGAAACATAGGGAAACTCGCAGCTGCATCTTCGTCGTATTTGCCTACGCTCTCACTGACTGCAACTCAGATGAAGTAAAGGATGGGTTTTAGAAGAAGCTTTACAACAAGCTCTTTGATGTAGTAATAGTGCTTGGTGAATTCGATGCTCAAGTAGGTAGACTTAATGAGATGGAAAGACACCTAGTTTGATCTTTTGGTGTCATGACTCAAAGAACAGATATTGGCGATGTGTACTATAGCTATGCTCAGATAATCGCCTATTTCTAGCAAATACCAACTTTAAGCATAAGAAAAAACATCTTTTAACATGGCGACTACCAAAGTCGTGACAACTCTGGATCCAACCAGATCACATAGCTACCAGCCACCGATAAGGAGGCTCGATAGGAGACTGCTGCTTATTATGGAGCACATGTTCAGATTCAGACCATGCTCTAGTGCGATCGCGTAGTTGTCTGCGTCTTACTTGACCGAGGAAAGGCACCGCTGGTAAACCTCTTAGGGCTCTATTTAATGATAATAAAGCTAACAATATATTTCAGGAACAATTAGAAAAACAGTTAGGCAGCCATGTATTAAGTGATGCCCACCCTGAGGCAGCTTGGAATGATATCCCTAAAATTGTTGAAACAGCAGTGTTATCTGCCAGTAAGGTAAACCGTTAAGTTTAGGCGAAATAGTGGATTTCAGTAGCATCTATGAAACTGATAGACGGTCGAAAACTCATCCCGTGGTGCTCTAAACAGGATTAGGAGCATGCTAATAATAAGCTTATTCCGTGATCCCGAATAGTGGTGGCTAGTGAAAACAAGCAAGATGGAAAAGGTAGCGGCGGTAGGCAACAGTAGACAATTGTTCAAACTTATAAAGGAATCCGGAATTAGGAATCCGACTGTCAGCGACACTATCTCAGGAAAGGATATCTGTATTATTCATTCTCAGTGCAGGAGTTCAAATAGATTGACAGAACACTTCAGGGATCAATTCAACTGACCTTCAGCCACACTTCGGATTCCCACGATCTCCAGTCAACCTGAATGGAGAATCGACGTAAGTCCTCCGATACTTCATGTAGTTGAAAAAGCGTAGGAAATCGAAGACAAGGGCGAGCAGCGAGCCACGATAGTTTGGTCATTGAGATTTTTAAGGACGGTGGTCCAGTTTTAGCAGTTAGATTGATGGTATGTTAGTTAAAATCCCATCTGATTGGTCTCAATCACTGATTGTCCCAATCTATAAGAAAGGACGAAAGTACTCTCGTGACAATCAGAGATTAATCTGTCTAAAATCTTGGCTTCAATAACATTTCAACGCCTAACTAGAGCTTGTAAAGAGCAAACTCGAGAAAACAAGGTTGTTTGGGCCCATATACTGTGTGGTTGTCCAAACCGAAGGAGATAGTTTTCTTAAAGGACCACAGGCTGGACCTACAGGCCTTGACAGTGGTAATATGAGAACATTTCGAAAGATAAAGCGGACTGTCCTCATCCTCGGCCGTGCCAGAACATTTGGGAGCAATTATTTCAACACTGCTTACGCGTTCAACTCTTGTCATTGCTAATTCAAACGCAAATGCTAATATATTCCCAGAGGCACATGCAGTTTTTATAGTAAAAATCTAATGAGCTGTTTATAGTATTTGAAGTTAAACCATCATGTATCCTAAAAAGATGAGAAAACTTGGTTCTCATTGAGAACACTGTTAATCATCTATTGTTTAGCACTCTCATTATAAAACTGACCTTTTATTGTAAAAGGTTAGGTCAGTTGCTCGAGAAAACCAGGCTGGTTTCAGACCTGGACCTGATTGTATAGACCAGCTATTCACTCTTTGTTTGGTCTTGGAACATAGACAAACATTCAGATGACCCACAATAGTGTTATTCCTTGACCTTAAAGCCGCATTTAACTCTGTTGTTCGTGAGGTTCTGTGGCAGTGTCTGTCATTTGAAGATGTACCAAAGAAGTACATCAACCTTATACTAGCTCTCAACTCCAACACCACTAGTCAAATGAAAGCTAACGACAAACTCATTAAAACTGGTCAAAGACATGCTTTTAGAAATAACACTTTCCTCGTATGATTTTTCACCAGTAAATCTTGTACCGAGAGATTCTCTTCTCCACTTAGAATATGACAATGACATAGTTCTATTTGATGAAGACGCTGACAAAATGCAGTCTTCTGACCACCCTAAGCAACAATGCATGCCTGTTCGTGATGCGGTTTTCCCCCGTCGTATTGCGAAATGTAGATGCAAGATTGGCTTGCGTTGGCACCTGAACTAGTAGTGATAGGAAGTGAATTAGTTGAGCGTGTTGATCGCTTCACTTATCTTGGGAGTCTCATCAGCGCTGATGGCCTGTTGACTGACGAAATTTCAGCGCTGAGACAGAAGGCTCGATCGGCTCCTGTCAATTTGTGCCAAGTGAAGTGTTGAAGCCGAGTGCGCCAACTCAATGCGATGAGACACAACTAAGTATTCATAGTTAGACATGCAATAAGCGAAGCGATGAATACAAATACTCGAATGAAAACACCCAAGATATAAGCTAATAAAACAAGGAAGGAAGACGTGTGAATAATAACTCGAGAAGAATGTATTCCTTAATTTGTGCAAAGACTGGTACAAGCCCCAATCGGTTTAACATGAGTCATGTTCGTAAGTAAATTTATAGAACGATTATTTGAATAAATAAATAAACAGAATAATAAATATTCTGAAAATAATTACATTATATTCTAGTTTACGAACACGATTCGGTAATACAAAAGGAATTTAGCATGTACCAAAATATGAGGGTACACATGATTCATTAGTTTATTCTGACTGAACACTTATCATAAAGATTATAACAACGCAAACTATGTGGTATAAGCTAAATATATTATCATATGTCATAGCATGTTAGAACACAGCATTTTTATCATATCAAATGCCAAAATAGCCACCACCACCATAAGCTTCTTCAATTTAAAACATAAAAAAACGTCTAATTTCATTAAGGTATTGATAATTAGAAGATAATAAGCGTTTCTGTTTGATATATAATTCTTAAGACATAGATTCTAGAAACCAGTATTTTTCTACTAGAAGGGCATTAATGAAAGACACTGGTATATATTATGATCAAGTCTTCTTGTACATAATGATAATAATGTATTTTTTGTTATGGAAATGATGCTTATTAAAATTTTGCTATCCTTCAAATAATAGATATGCCTAATAAGCTTTGTGCGTTCTGATTTCGACTTCTTATATAGTGGTTGTATATGAACTATGCATAAACGGTTACCTAAACTAAGATAAAACAGTAGTTCAATGCTCCTTGTTTTTTATTGACTGCAGTTAATATCCGTCCGGGGCAAGAAATTGTCTTCAAGTTTATGAAAAATGCTTATTACTTGATATTGCGCGAGGTTTCCCATCTCTCTCTCTCTCTCACACACACTCTCTTTACCCTTTCTTTGTATTTTTTTGCATTCTGAGAAAAATACACATATTTCATATTTAGCTATTTCTTTTGTTCGACTATACAAATTTTCCTTTCATTCTTTTATATTTTAAGTTACAACATTTAGGAAGGCTGTTTCAATCACCTTATCATTCATTATGTTTGAAAAACCTTTCTCTCAAGGGTGAGTCCATTAATTTTATTCATTCTACAATAAATAAACCTTTCCAGTCGAGCATTTACATTGAATAGTCTTTTCATGTTTCTAAATAATCAATACTGTAACTCATTGTGATAGCTTGTAGGACTGCTAGCAGTGATATTACACGTCTGTTTAACATTCAAACGTGCCAGTTTATTTAAAGTTAAGTAGCTGTATTTATCTTCAAGTTTTTTCAGATATAGTTTAGTAGTTCATTTTGAATTTTTGTATTTATATCATCAGTATTACAGTGTTAGACTAAAAGGTCAAGTAGAAAAATTTGTACACCGTCATAGGTGTAAATTGAATTTTAGTTATTCAATGAATTCAATAAAATATCGATCAGTGAATTTTAATATTGATTCGGTGTACTTGTTATAAATGTGTTGTTTAGTGTAAACAACAAGATTTGGTCGTCTGTACGGACATATGTGCAACAAAAATTCACCAAAATACTTAAAAGGCATAACAATAGAGAAAACTGATGGAAATAACTATTGAAATGGACCGAATAACTCTATGATTGTGATTTGTTAAATCAGTCATCTAAACTACTGTATGAGTGGTATGATCGATTGGTAAGGATTACATGCAAATGAAATGTGTATCTCAAAACATGACAGTTACTTTTAGAGCAAAATCAAACACTAAGATCGAAAGTATTGGGTTCTATGTTTGATGTGAATATGATCACTGGGAAGTAAATACATAAACTGACGAGTTTCAGTTAAGACGAAACTCACGTTTTAGATTCATCATTACTTGATGTTCTAGATTTTCACATGTGAACAATTAAAATATCTGTAAATTAAGTTGAATACCCATTCATTTATAGATACATACTGTTTCATTAAATATTTTTCTATTCCATCAAGAATCAACAACCATGTGAACACTGATTTGAAATCATTAATGAATTGGTCTTTCATTCCGTCTTCATAATTCTGATTAGTATACTCTGATAAGCGATCAGAGTTATGTCGTGCATATATATAAGTTAGATAGATTATTTTTTTGAGGAATATATTAACACAAATAATTCAATTTATAATAAACAGGACATACAGCTAATCAATAATAAACCACAGCAGAACTATAGTTCATTGTTTGGGGTCGATATTATCAGTTCATGCTGAATATGAGTGAAGCACAAACACATTCGTCGATAATGTCCTCATAAATCAATTTCAATGGTAGATATTGCCAATTATCTAGCAGATATTGTTATTAATCCCAGGATATTTATTTATGGATAATTAGAAACTGGGGTTGAAAAAAATCAATACATATCACTCACCTAGCTAAATGGTAGTGTCTCATTTCTTTGTCGAATTATAAGGCAAGATTGCTGATTCGTCTAAATTCAAACCTATCCTACGAATTATTGCCCAGAACTAATTTTAAATAGCATTGAATGGAACAGATCTAAAGATTGAACTGTTGATCAATTTATTCAGTAAGTTCGTGTTAAGGAGATTGAATCTACAGTTTATACAAACAAAATACTCAATTAAAATTGCATGACTGTCGAGTTCTGTGTTAGTTAACAAATGAATCAACAAAAATACATCTATTAAAGGTTTGCTAGTAGGTCTTCATCTTTACTATGGTGTGATCCAATCATGAAAGTGTTTAAACCCGGTTTGTATATATTTATGTCAATATAGTTACTGTCATCTACATATTACTTACTAATCATTCATCTGTATAATCTTGTTGTCATGGCTTTTTTTTGTAAATGCTTTATAGTTATTTTATGTTTAAATATTTCACTAAATCACTGGACTTACTGACTATAGTCTTTATGTTATGTTTATTATTCAACAAAATAAGAGCAAAATAATAAAATGTATCCTAATCATGTTTAATATACTCTACTCGTAAGCTTTTGATATTATTCAATAAAAATAATGTAATTTGTAAATCATCTTTTTTTTCTGTGTATTGACCTGCAAAAGTATTATACATCATTGTACTACTCCGTAAAATGCTTTTATTAATAGTGAAAAAAAAAATAGATTGTGTCATATATTTTTGTTTATGAATTCTTCTTCATACGGTGTCAAGTCAAATTTTGGTACCGATTTACTTTTTAGGTATATTATTAAAAAAGGTCATAGTAAGAGCTTAGCATACATTCTATTAACAGTTGTTACCTAATTAGTTATTATTATGCCAGTGTAGTCTATCATTCTTAAAGGATAGTGTACATGTGTTTGTGTTTTGTTACACGTAGATTATTGAATTAGAATCCATACATTTGATATGATGTTTCAATTAAGTTGTTGGTCTGAGCTGTGTTGATTGATGCAACCTACTTACTTGAGATCCATTAAATAACGGCATTCAACCGTTGAAGGCATTGCTGTTTAGTTAGTCACATTGGGACAGATAAATTCACTGTTTATATTCCTTTAAATCTTTAGATTGAGTGTTTCTTCACGCAAACTGTTTCATTCTGTTTTCTGAAACTATGTTCTCAATGTTGAGTTTTTCTCACTATCATTGTTGCTGTAGTTATCTCAACTCCTTTATTATTGATCTTGTTGTACTAATTATAATGTATCAACTTAGGCAAGTGCACATTTTTTCAAGTCTTTATTGTTTATAACTGACTGATTAAAGTTTATTAGTTTTGTATTCTATGTGCACTTTCTTAGGTGTTCATTTGTTGTAGCATTTGTTTTTCGTACTATTTCACCTGCTGTTTCCTTTGATTTCATATCATAGTAGGCTAATGTTGATTTTTCATATCTAGAAGTACTTATTCAATGGTCACTTTTCCTTACGCATTTTATTGTATTGTTTATCTTAGTTCTTAACGTGTTTTATTGGACTACGGTGAACTGATTTGAATCGGCTCTTTTGAACTATTGTTGTTCATACAGCAAACTGCGTAGCAGAAATCACTTTAATCGGATGGATATACTAGTTGACTAACTTGAGTTAGTTCAAGTAGAGTTTATTAGTTCATTGTTTTCGATTTATTCTCGTTTGTTGTTTATAAATATGTCACTTTGGACAGAGTAATCCTAATCTAAGTTTCATGCTAGTCGATATTTGTTAGTAGGGTGTATTTAATCTCTCTCCACACAGTTTGTCTATTTAATTATCGACGAGTGTGTATTGATCAGTTGTAATCAATTTTTTCTAAAGTTCCTCATCCGAAGTTAGTTATAGCAATTTATTATTTACTTTGTTTTTATTACGCTTTGAAACTATTCATTAAAATGATTGGTTTACATAAACAAGATAGTGCAATGTATCAGTTTCTTGTATTGTTTTTATTTTAAAAATGAACTTGGATACTTTTTGTGGATTAGTAAACGATGCGTCTTGTAATTCTTGCTCACTTTACTTGAGATCATCGCCGTTTTTGTTGCAAAAGTCAATTGAACTGGAAAGAAAATAACTTTACTGTCAATAATTATATATCTTTATGTTGTGCTGAATCTGGAGATAAATTGTGGAAAATCACCTTTGTTGACAACTTCAACTAAATATAGAGATTCGGACTATCTCGAATGGCTTATTACTAATAATCGATGATTATAGAATTACTCTACATTTTATGTATATACATATTATATATTATACTTGGTAACGCTGATTGCTAACTGATTTCACAAATATTTAGTGGACTTCGTGCCACCATCATACATCAGTCACTCTTCATGTCTGTGTACTAGCTGTTGATACCTCGCCATTGTACATACAGAAGTATGGATAGAACATGGTTAAAATCTTCGACCATATTTGTTGACAGTTCAGTTATTTATTCACATATGAACGATTAGTTAGCGATGGACACACTCTTAGATTTTCATCTTTTGAATAAGTTTATACGATTATCAAAAATAACTATTCATTTAAACATTTGCGTAGTTTCAGTCACGAACTGATCATATCAAGGTATCTGCTGATAAACTGGAAGCAGTAGACAGCTGTTTCGTTTTAGTATAGAACCCCTCAGCATCGTGCATACACAACCCCGCAGCCAGGACCCTCGATCGAACGAAAGCATAACTTTTAGTCCATTGAGCTGGTATTTAATGGTGTATACATCTAACGTCAATCAATTCACGATATTGCTCAACCCACATTCATTTCTATCTTCAAGAATAAATTCCTGAAGATTCTGGGGTTCATTAAAAAATATACAATCAGGAAAAACCTACTAAAGTCAGAAAACGATACGGTTTGTTCAACTAAGAAATTAAACTTCTGAATCCGATGTTTGCTCAAACTCCTATCTCGTAAAAGCTACTCATAATTCAGCTTGCATTATAAGAGCTTAAAAATGCAAAGACAATACCTTAGATGATGGTGTAGTTTTGCATCATAATATACTGTTCAACTTGAAAAGGAATAAGAAGTATGTTTGATGCCCATTCCCAGACTATCGTCCTGTCCTTGACTCAACTCCAAGACTACCACTAAACAAATTTACCAGCAGCTGGGTAACTAACAGGCTGTGTTCCAACCCTTTGTAAGAGAACAGTATTCTATGATGGGAGGGAAGCGTTTAAGGTCTTTACTTATTCAAGTAGCAGGTCCCCAAGGAACTGCTATTTTCACCTTTGCTCTTCTTAGTTTTTATGCATGATCTGCTATCTACGGAAAACACTTTAGTTAAATATGCGGATGATCTCACTGTATGTGAGTAGTTTTCTTCCTGTTCACATCTCTTTGAAATAAATGAGATCCTGTTGTTGCTCACTGAACGATGGTCTGTTGTTAATGGTCTCACACTCGATTGTTCTAAATGTCAAACTTAATTTTAGTCCGACATATGAACAGTACATAAACACATTGTTAGAATCGCTTAAATATTTACTATTGGAGATTCTGTAATAACACTGTCAAAGTTCATTTATCTTTGTGTTTTTCCTCTACTCTCTTCTAGTCATTTTGCATTTTATTTATATCGAAGAAAGTCTTCCGTTTAACACATTACATAACGAGAACACATGCTTTCGTCATTATTCAGTATTTACTTTTGCGATTTGTTAGTGCTTGTATATTACCTTTTATTTTTTCTGAAGCTTTGAAAAACAGATTCTGTTTTGTTGTATAAAATCCTGAAGGCAGTCAGCAGGGTGTTTGTTGAACCTTCTGAAATCATTATAAATAGTTTTGTGGTTAGACACTTGAAATTTTTCAACTTCTGGCAAGTGTTATCTTATCATATACTAATCGTTTACTTCATTCACATCTTTCTCATTGCATATCTTCTGGTGAAACATGAAGCCAATACATCAGAACCCATGCACGCAAAGGTATAAAAGGTGTACAACTTCGTATTTAAAAAATTATTATGTGACGAATAGGTTGTAAGAGCTGATCTACTCAGTAACTTGTATTCCTAAACATTTCACTGATTAAAAATTGTGTAGATTTTAATTTTATTGAGAAGAAGCATTTCATTTGATTCCAACTAGTTTATTTACCTATTTCATTTTTGTGTGTATGCAGTTGTCGATTTTTATTTTTGTAAACTGAACTTGTTGAAATACTTTGTTCTGAGAATTCCATATTGCGCTAAGCATATAACATTGAATAACGATGTTAATAATAATAATAACTGTTGTGTGTCAGACAGTTATCTACCACAGGCGATGGATAACCGTTGTGCAATATTGGGAATCGATTAAAGTTAGATGTGAACACCACTGCTCAAAAGTCTAGAGTAATAGTGTTCTCTTGCGAGACTGGAGGTCTGAAGTTTGACTGTCTGATAATAGGTCGCGAATGCACACTACTCATGATTTTCATAGTTTAATGAAACAGATATCCGGTACTTCTGTAATCTCCACAATTTTTATACTCAAATAGTTAATTTGTGTTTCCCATTAATAATGTTGTCACCATTCTTTTAATATTTATACTAATTAGATACATATGGTCTGGACTTTTGGTTGTATTCGGACTTTATTTAAATTTGTATAACAAGAATCGGTCATCATGGAATGCTGCCATTCTAAACAAATTGAAATCGTATCATTTAATAAAATCTGATGCAAGTTCTACCTTACCAGTATAGATACATACTTTTAATTTAAATTTATTTTCTTATTTCATTTCTCTTTTGTGCACATGTATTTTTTATTATTTGCACAGTTTGTAAATTAGTGTGTTATTAACTCGTTCTTCCGTTCAATATAATGGTGAATAAATGCACATTTAAAACCACTATGTTTTGAACACTGAACAATACGGTTGTGACTGTGAATAATGATATATCTTAGTTATATACAAATTTAACTATCAAAGTTTGCCACACATTATTGATTGATTTTGTACTTAACTGTTCTCTCTTCGCTCATAGAACCCTTCTTTTTCTTAGGCTGTTTATTTATTTATCAATTTTATGTTGAGAAAATTATCTGACTCTATTAACATGTTAAATTTTTTGGTCTATGTTAGCTTAATTTTATTTTACATTATTCTGACCATTTCTACCAAATAAGAAAACCTCAAAGACACGTTACTCAGGATATCAGTATTTTGTGAGATTAATTCAACAGTGAAATAAAAGTTAAACACTATTGTTTAGCCAACATAATATACACAAAATGATAATTTAAAAGCTTATTTTTGTCATATACATCTAATTTTATGAAACAAATTTGACTAAATTAAAGACCTTGGCTAGGTTTTTATTCACCTCATTATCCACTAGGTACATGTACTGTCAAAATCAAAAACCTAGCTTAAATGGTTATGATGCTCATACCTGGCCTATGGGTTGTTTAAGGCTGTAAGTTCCCGTTCATTCAAGAGTAGATTTGCACAATTTTCAATCTTTTATCTGTTTGTTGATAACTTTGTAAAGTATTTCTCATTATTTTCACGACATTTGTGTGAAGAGTTACACTATTAAGTAGATGTGATGACGTTATAAGATCGCAAATCTGATTGCCGATATAACTGCGAATCACGATTGTTTTCGTGCGTCTATAAAATGCAAGATTTCAAGTTCCAAGTTCGTCCTCAGTCGGATATAGTAAGCTTTTTATGTCATTACCATTCCACAATGTATTAATTTAGCAATCTTTTGTCACGTGAATCTTAACTCATAATTAGTTACTAAATAGAGGTACTTTCTATGAAGCTGTTCATATGGTAAATAAACACTTTGAATCTCGCGAGAAGTTTAGAATTTAAGAGAACAATTTCATATCTGTTAGACCTAAATGCTATTATCCTCATTTCTTAATTTTTTTCTAATATCAATTTACCAAGTCGACATCATAATATGAATTTATGAAAAGTTCTACATTATTTATTATCAATGATAGAATGTAAAACTGATTTTATCTACTGAGGTTTGATTAATTCGCTCATATTCTAGTTTATAAATATTCATAGATAAGGTATCGTTGTCTCACTTAATGTTACACAGTTTTCCAATGAAATTCGAACTATTGTTAACAAACCCAGTTCGATTAAGTATCGACATCGAAACATTGACCTCAATTAAATAGTTATAGAGTACTTAATAGCAAGTGATTGTCCTAAACTTTTTTTTTTTGTTGATCGACCATATCCATCAGTTGTGCAATTCATCATTGGCACAAATAACTCAGATGTCATAATGTATCATGAAATCACTTCGTATTCCAGTAACAAGTTATTTTCAAAATATTCAACTAGTTCATTTTGTCTTATTCAGCAGTAGAGTACGAGATAACAAAGATATGACTGCTTATATACATTTTTACACAACCTAAATATATAATATTAAAATTGGATAAATTAGTGTTGATTGTTTTAACAAATTAACCAATAGGACTGTTCAAGTGAAGTGGCAACACAAATCAGTTGATAAAATTCTAACTTAACGATGTTACTACACCCTTAAGTAGCTAGCTTACAAGTAAACCAATCGCTATCAGGTACACGTCTAAATCAGCACGTTTTTCAGCTCTATGGTCGAAAATCGATTCTTGATTGTATTAGCAATATATAAATTTATTGTACTTCATAATGATCTGAAAGACTAATTATACTAGTATTAGTAACAGTATTTAGCATCTAGGATTTTAAAGAAACTAAGAATAGTTAGAAAATCAGTAAATTTCCTCATCGTATTTAAATTTAAATTATTTATTTTCAGAATAAACGGTGAAAGTACTCACACAATGCCAATAGTAATAATATTCGTAATCATGTACATTTGAAATTTTCACAAAAATAAAGTTAACCGACAAAAAAATTAGGGTGATAAAAGTATTGATAAAAATTAACCAAAAAAAATAATTCATAACATTTAAACAAAATTAGAAAAATTTCAATTTAATATAAAACTTTACGAAATCAAACCTTGTCGTTGTTTGGAAAAGGACTATTCAGTTTCAAGCACCGGATACTGAGGTTTGCAAGACAAGTACAATTTCATTTAAATAATAGAATGACTTAGAAAAATCACCTTCACATAAATACGGTAGACGTGTCCAACGTACAACATGGAAATTAGCTGGTGTAAGAATATTTTTAATTAGACTAGACAATTGTATTTCCCATAATTCACTGTCATTAATATCAAGCACTTCAGTAGGACGTTGATCACGAGTAGCTTCAAAAGATAATTTGACGAATAGAAAATGGGAAAAAGTGTTTTATAAAAAAGTAATTTAGTTCATTAAAGAGTAATCAAACGAAATAAAATAATCATTAGCCATAAACGAACAAGATAAATTAGTATTTTTCTACATAATACACTAGATCATTTCAAGGCTCATTGCAAAATGTCGTTGGAACCGTTAATCCCAAGTAATGCTTTTTTCAGGACTGACCCCTAAGATATTTAAGGATTGTGGTCAAGTTTTAGCAGCTAGGTTGACTGAGATCTTAAGTAGAATCTGAGAACTTGACGTAATCCCATCCGACTGGTCTCAATCACTGATTGTCCCAATTTATAAAAAAGGATAAATGCCTTCTTGTGACAATCACAGGGGAATAAGTTTAACTAATATAATATCTAAAATATTGGCCTCAATTATACTTCGACTCGTGAAGAGCAGACAAGGGAAAACCAGGCTGGTTTTCGACCTGGATGTGACTGTAAAGACCACATCTTCACACTACGACAGGTCCTGGAACACAGACACACATGTAGGCGTCCTACAATGATTGTCTTTGTGGACCTTAAGGCGGCATTCGACTCAGTGGTGAAAGGTGTACCAAGGAAGTACATTAACCTTATACAAGCTCTCTTTGAGATGGTGGAGAAAACCTGTAGCTCAGGTGGATGATTGTGGTGGTGTTTTGTTCTCTGAGCTGGTTGTTTTGATTGTGGAGCTTTCATTGTTCTTCTGAACAACATCATCAGCACAAACTTCAGATAGAAGTGAAGCATTCGAATTTCTCCACGTTTGACCTGTAGCTTGTTCTGTTAACCTCGATCTTGATTGGTTGCTGTTGTCTTTTGATCTGTCGTTGTTTGCAACTTTGTTTTGATTGCACCCCCTCTTTGATCTGTTTCTTGATCCTATGATTTTTCTGATTGGTTGATAGGTTGAGTCAATGTCGATGTGTTTGTTGATTGCTGATTGGCCTGAGTGCCAAGCTTCTAAAAATTATCTAGTGTTTTTTGTCCTACCCCTACCCAGTATTTCTACATTGTTCCAATCAAATGTGTGTCCATAGTTGTCGGTATGTATTGAGATAAGCGAAGCGTTGTCGTGGCGTTTGACTGCTAATTGATGTTCACGTAAACGGAGCTGAAGTGGTCGTCCACTTTGTCCTATGTAGTGTTTTTCACAGTTTATTTATTTTGTAGATGATATTTGGTTTTTCTTCCTTTGTCATTTTGTCCTTTAGTCTACATAGGACTGATTGAAGTGATTCTGTTGGTCTGTGTGCAACACCTATTCCAAATGGTTTCGGTACTCGAGCTGTATGCTCCGATATGTCTTTGATGTATAGTAGGATGATGCGTTTATTTGTTTCTGTGCTTGATTTCGCTTCTGATGATGGTTTCGGTTGATGTTTTTTGATGAAGTTGCGTGGATAGCCGTTCTTTCGGAATATAGTCATCAGATGTTTTTCCTCGTTTTTTAATGCTTCGTATGTGCTGCAGTGTGTCTTCGCTGTCTTGAACAAAGTTTGTACACAGTTGATCTTGTGGGTTCTTGGGTTGTTGCTGTCGTAGTTGAGAATTACGTCTGTGTGAGTTGGCTACCGAAATACTACCGAAATTCTAGTTTTCCTGAATTGGTCCTGGTGATTAGTACATCTAGGAATGATAGGCTATTGTTTGATTCCTTTTCCATCGTGAATTTGATGTCGTTGTTGATCTGATTGTAGATGTTCTCCAGCTCATTCCTTTTGATAATAACGAATGTGTCGTCTACATAGCGAACCCACATTTTTGGCTTGATCACTGGCAGAATTGACGCTTCTAGTCTCTGCATTACAGCTTCGGCGATGAGTCCTGATATTGGTGATCCCATTGGTGTTCCTTTTATTTGTTCGTAGACTCTGTTGTTGAATTGAAGATATGTTGTTAAGCATAGGTCGATGAGTTCAAGCAGACTTTGACTCTGAAGCTTTGTATATTTGTGTCGTTGATGAGGAGTAGAGAAAGAGTTTCTTTAGCCAAGTTTGGCTCTATTGAGGTAAATAAGGCTGTTACGTCGAAGGATATCATCATTTCGTCGTTGTCAATTTGAATCCTCCTGAGTTCATCCAAGAATTCTGTGGCCGATTTAATGGAATAGTTGGATTCATCTACCAGATGTTTTAATATCCTTGAAATTTCTCTTGATAAGTTATAGGTCGGGGTTCCGGGGAGGGCTACAATAGGACGTAGTGGGATGTTGGATTTGTGAAGTTTCGGCCTACCGTAGAATCGTGGAATTATTAGTCCATTGCATTTCATTCTCCATTGATCTTGTTTTGATATTTGTCCTGCTTTGACAAGCTTATTTAGAGTCTTTGAGATTTGATTGTCCAACTTTTTTATAGGGTTTGTGTCGACTGGTTTATACACGCTTCTGTCCTGAAGTAGATCTTCGGCTTTCTTGATATATTCTTCCTTGTCCATGATCACTGTAGCATCTATGGAACTGATGGATGCTCGGAAACTCATCCCACCTGGCTCAGCGCGATGAGGAGCGAAGTCAGATAAGGCGCAGGCTGATAAAAAGCCTACGCAATGATCGAGAACGGTAGTGGGAAGCGAAAGCAAGGGAGGTGGAAGAGACAACGGTGATAGGCAACAGTAGTTAGACTCATCAAGGAAACCGGTATAAGGAACCCGAACGGGAGTGAGACTATCTCGGAAAAGGATGGTCTTATTATTCATTCTCAATCCAGGAGATTGCATCGATGGGCAGAACACTTCAGGAATTAGTTAAACTGGCCTTTAGCCACACTTCTATCGCCCACGATCTCCAGTCATCCTGAATGGCCAGTCGATATAGGTTTTCCGACTCTTTATGAAGTTGAGAAAGCGATAGGAAATCTGAAGCGAGGGAGAGAAGCAGAGCCTGATAGATTGACCCCTGAGGTTTTTAAGATTGGTGGTCCAGTTTTAGCAGCTAGGTTGACTGAAATCTTAGGTAGAATCTGGGAACTGGACACTGGTCTCAATCCCTGATTGTCCTAATTTATAAGAAAGGTCAAAAGTCTTCTGACAACCACAGCGAAATACGTCTAACTAATATAGCTCCTATATTGTTATCCTCGATTATCCTTACACACATAACTAGAACTCGTGAAGAGCAGACTCGAGAAAACAAGACTGGTTTCATACCTGGATGTGGCTGTAAAGACCACATATTCACACTACGACAGGTCCTGGAACACAGACACATGTAGGCGTCCGACAATAGTTGTCTTCTTGGACCTTATGGCGGCATTTAACTCTATGGATCGTGAGGTTTTTTGGCAGTGCCTGTCATTAAAAGGTGTAACAGAGAAGTACATTAACATTATACAAACTTTCTACTCGAACACCTTTAGTCGAGTCAGAGCTAATGGCGAACTGTCATCGGAATTTTTCACGTCAAGTGGTCGCCGTCAGGGCTGTCCACTCTCTCCATTCTTGTTTAACTTTGTGATACATACGCTTTTAGAGTTAACATTATCATCGCCAGTGCGGTGGTTGGGACATGTGTTGCGTATGCCTAACCACCGACTGCCTCGTCGAGCTATATTTTGCGGTGTAGGAGTAGGTTGGCAGAAAGCTAGGGGCGGCCAAACCAAAACATGGCACAAATCCATGAAGTCACTGACAAGTGGACTGAGTCATGTTAGTAGATGTAGACTACCTAGTTGGTTCCCGCGAGATGATAGTAATCAATATTTAGAGACCCTAAATGACATGTCTCAAAACCGTTTGCAATGGTGCAGGTGCATCCACTCTTTGTGTTCTCCCAAATGCTAATCTTCTGTATTCCTCATGATCTCTATCTTTCTCTTTCTGAATTTACCTCACTGAATTATACTTCTTGAATAACATCTTCGAACCCTAAAATTTCCGATTACTTCTATTACTTTTACTACGTCTACTACTATGGGATTTGAATCAACAATTATATCTCTGTGCTAATGTGGTATGGCAACTTGAACTAATGTACTTACGTACGAAGTTCTATGTTGTAACTGACTGACTTACCGTTGACGTATTGTACTTCACTGATAGTTGTGATACCATGAGCTGGTTTTATTTTGAAAGTTTTTGTGCTGACGCCTGTATATTTTAATTATGAAAATGAACGTAATGTACCTCTTCGCCTAGTTCTTAAATGATTGGGCAAAACGGATATTCTACGAAAGTCACAAGTGACATACACTTGTAAATAGTACATGAAAATCACCAGTATTTTGTTTGTAATTAATCCATTATGATCTACTCATCTATCTAGGCTACTTAACAAGCCAATATACCCCACTAATAGAATCATGAATTTCAAAGTTTCAAACTTATGTACATGAGTTATGAAATATTGTCAAATACTTTGGTTGGAAAATTACAATCGTTTCTTTTTTTATCTGAATCATTTGAAGGAGCCCAAAACTTTCAGGTTTTATCCAACAAAGATTTGTAATCTATAAATCGAATGCCGACTAAATTTACAAATAAAAAAGACTACTGTAAAGTTGTATGTAGAGAGTTATAATATAAAAATAAATCATTAACGAAAACAACATCATCATGAAGTGGAAAAATATGTTAGCTTAATCTTTTGGGAAAATAAAAAAATAATTGAATATTACTTATGAACAATAGAAACTCACTTTCAACATATTGTTTCAACGGCAAAACTATTCCGAGGATTAAAACTCCTGTTGTAGGTTTCAAAGCTTTATGAATACGTTTCAATAAGGTAATCGGAGCTGTACAACGATCCAATAAATTTAAACAACTAATAACATCAAAATGAGTTGGGACTTCAGGTGCATTCATTTTGTCCCAAGAATCAACGTCTAATATTCTATTAACAGAAACAAGCAATATTAGGAATTTAATAAATTAAAGTAAATATTCAGTGTATCAAATTAAAAACCTTGATTATAATGAACCTCATGTGATAACGAAAATCAGATGAAATACTGTTTATTTATAAGATTTAATAGGATATAAGATATAATTAGTCAACTTACGTAAAGCCATGTTTAGTTAGACGCCAACGCATAACTGGAGATATTTCTGTAACAAAAATATCTTTGAAGTAAGGAGCCATTTTCAATGTTACATTGCCATCACCAGCACCTGAATTTCAAATAAAAGTCTAACATAATTGTGAATTATTTTCTGATGTCAAAATATTGATAGTACAATTCGTAAATTACACCACAAACTTTTCTCTTTTTTACGCGACGAATAGCTGTCTTCGACTCAATAATTTAATGGTTCTGTTTTTGCCGAAATAACTTTGCTACATCATGGATATCTGTTAATTTTAATCCATGATTTAAAATATCTTCAAAGTAAGGAAAAACTGGTTCAGTTTGTCAAGTAAATACTACAGTAACGGATAATAAATTGTCAATGCATATAAACAGTAGTTATTAAAGTCATAATCAACAGATTCCAACTATGTTACAGAGTGAGATAGTTTTCGCTAATAACAATGGTCCATTGGCGTTTAACACAGCGAATCAACTTAGGTTGAATGGATGAGCATCAAACACCAACTTATTGTCTGAAGATGCTTCAGAAGAGAATCACATTAGAAGCTGATCAACATACACATTAGTTGATCCTTTCTAACTAGTTAACTGTTAAAACACATTAGTTTCGTATCATTGTCTATTACTTTGAAATGAGATCATTTTAACTGAATAAAAAAGTTAACAGGAATACTCTATTTGTAGAGTATCTGAATAATTGTTTAAAAGATTAGTATTGAGGTGAATATGTGTGCTACCTATGTGTGAAAAATAACTGATGATAAAATATTTCAACTTGAATTTTGTATGACGTTTAATAATCTGTTTAAGCAACGAGAGTGACAATATTTTTTATCATGATATTTGACAAGTAAATTATACAGATTTCGAATTAATTCGCCAGCGTTAGTGCTATCGGCATTTGAAGTACTCAGCTTATATCTAACATATAGTGACCACAAATAACTTTCATTCTAACTATTAATGGGAAACGAAACCAATAAATACATAGAATTAAAAGAAATGTTCGGTTTTGCATTAAAGCTGTGTGGCTTATTAATTAGTTACAAGTTGATATACTCAGCTTTCACACCGAATTGCCACCATGAAGACTATTGATATCATTCAGCTGTTCAAACTGACATAGACGAAGTAACATTCAAGATCATCTATTGGTTGGAAATGAAGAGTGTTTGCAACTATATATGACTTACGTAATTACGCCTGCTACCCATAATCGAGCATAGACCACCTCCAAGCAGTCTCCAACTAACCCTGTCCTGGGCTCTCCTTCATAGTTCTAACCAACTGCTATTCATTCTTTTCATGTCTATCTTCAATTGTCGACGCAGTATGTTCCTTAGTTTTCCTCTTTTCATTTTAGTTTGAGTGTTCTCGGTTATGGCTTACTTATTGATGCAGTTCGATGATTTCCACAATGTGTCCGATCCAACTCCAGCAATTTTCCACAATATCTTCCTCAGGTGGAATCTGGTTTGTTCCCTCCCGCATCCGGTTGTTGCTGATGGTAACTGGCCAACGGATCTGGAGTATATTGCGTAGACAGATTTTTATCAATACCTGCATCTTTTGGGTGATAGCTTTTGTAGTTCAACAAGTCTCCTCACCATAAATTGGAATGGTTTTGACGTTTGCATTGAAAACTCTGACTTTGGTGTTGTTTGATAGTTGTTTTGAGTTGCAGATGTTCTTTAATTGTAGCAATGCTGCCCTTGATTTCCCGATCCGTAACTTCATATCTGCATCGGCCTACCATGTTTTCCAATCATATTGCCCAGATGTGTAAAGGTTTCCACATTTTCCAGAACTTCTCCACCAAGTGTATTTTGGTTAGTGATAGCGTTGTTTTACCTAAGGACCTTGCTTCCTCCCTTGAGTATGTTGCTGCCTACCTCTGTAGAAGCTGCTGCTACAGCACATTTGTTGTATTTGTAATAGAAGTTCCTGTTGTTGCATCGAGTTGAACGGAACTGAATGGATTTCCCAAAATAAACATTTCCCTGTTTGCTTACTTGCTTACGCCTGTTACCCCCAACGGAGCATAGGCCGCCCACCAGTTTTCTCCAACCAACTCTGTCCTGGTCTTCGCTTTCCAATTCTGTCCAATTTTTGTTCATTCTTATCATGTCTTTATTGCTCGGTGTAATGTGTTCCTTGGCCTTCCTCTTTTCCTTTTGCCTTGAGGGTTCCATGTGAGGGCTTGTCTCGAGACGCAGTTCGGTGCTTTGTTAAAGCATACAGGTAGATACTGTGAACTCACTACATGATGCAAACCAACTGTCATATGTATATATATCCCTCTTGCAAAAGAAAACGCACAACTATAACACATAATAATAATAATATTAATCAAGACCAATCAATTATCTACTTACCTAAGTCGAGTAAGGAATTAGTCTTGTAGTCATTATCAACATCAAGTAAGCGAAGAAATTGCGCGGATGAGAAAACAAACATAGAACCACGACCAACTAAACTTGAACAATGCATAAATATTTGTTATTAGTAAAGTTTAAATATGCATGTCTATTGATAGAGATCTGGTGTAAAAGAAGGGGAAACAAACTGATTAACAAACGTAATACAATATACGAGAATTAGGCCTCACAATCAGGTCTCAATTGGTTGGGAAGTAAGTCATTTTTGCGCAAATATCTTAATTAATAACATGCCATTTTACGACAGAGAAAAATATTTTCCAGGTAGTAGTCTTGTTCATGATTCTCAGCGTTTCGGAGGGCTTGCATCAATGGTTTAGCCTTTTCAGGGTCTATCACGGCGATTTAGTGAGCCAAACAGAAATGTCCTAGAGGATGAATACGTATGATTAGGCAAGTAATGGATTTATTTTCTAAATCAGTGAATACATATGTGTGGATGAGTATTTGTTCATATGATTCGGTAATCAAACAGACCTTAGCTTTTGATCTGTGCTTTCTTGCTCAAGCAGCTATTCGGGAGGGAGGGTTAGAACTGATGGCTTTCGGATCTCGGTGCCGCGCATTATAACAGCAACCAAATCGTATTACTGCATATTACTTGTCGATCATCATTCTTTTAGTTCATTTTAACAATCGAAAATTCGCTAGTCGAATTGCTAAAAACAAAAGCACTATTATGCTAATTAATAGAATCGTTTCGATGGACCCATTCAGAGCGTAAAAACTAGCTGTACCAATGTAAATCATCTAAGGAATAAAAATGGTGGTAAATATTTAGAATAGGGGATTCATGGATTTGTAATCTTTCAGTTGCTCTAAAATTGAAATTTTGAAGTCCATTACCTTAAAGAATAAATATGTATTTCGAAACGAAACAATTATTTTATGGTTAATATAATCACAGATACGATTGTTGAAACGTTGCACTGATGAATACATTCAAAATTGTGTAATTAGTAGTCAGCTTATGTTTCATTGGTGTTTTGGAGTACATATCACAAATACAATAAATCCATATTGGTATGTTTTTAATTGGAAAGTTAATTCTTACCTTAGAACAATTTTTCATCCAAACAAACGTTCTATTTAGTGATTCCGATAACATACAAACCTGAAATACTAATACTCCAAACTGGTTTAACCTTATGACTTTAGAGTGATAGTGAATCCTTGTAATTACAAAGTAGTTAGCGATTCAAGATTAGACAATAATTGTATATTAAACTGTTATAAAAGCTACTGATGAAACTGACCAGGTCAAAATAAATAGGTTTAAAGCAATTAGGAATCAATACCAAAGCATAATAAAACAATTCAAATCGTGTCAAACACTGATAGCATTATAGTTTTCTTGACTACAGATCTAAAATCGGATGATGGCGTTTCTAAACATGAAAAATAAACGAAAAATAATACTGAGGTAAATATAGCTTTTTGTGACCAATCACTATAAATAGAATGTAATGAATAGATATATATCACAACTAGGTGATTCCGAATAATATTCCAATCATTCTGCATACAAGACTGCGAACCCACAACGGTAAACTTTAGAGTAATCGGTGTCTATTGTCATTTCTGGTTTGTAACAGTTTACCGAGTAATGTCAGCTCTTGAAGAAAGGTTCAATATAATTAAAAATTTAGTCGCAGAATTCGATAGCATATTACCGGACATACATATTTGCATTAAATAATTGTAATAATCATGTTTCAAGCAAAAAGAAAATATATACACAGGCAGTGAAACAAGATTAGTTACCCATTAATTGAAGTTGAAGTCATGAACCAAGTTAAAACAGCTTTTGCAATAGCATGATAAAAGTGTGTGAATAACCAGTCAGACTTGATATAGCAAGTTTCCAAAAATTTGCAAGTCTCTTCGTCTTGATTCGACTTAATAAATTTATTCCGTAATTCAAAATCTACATATTCAGCACGATAATCATACCACTGCATTTATTAGATTGAAAATATCATAAAAAATATATTATGTAAATAATTGAACATAACTACGTAATCATGATTTGAGTTTGAATGTTTATTCTGATGATCCAACTTTTCATACATTAATCTTATCAGCGGACTTCGGATATATTCACCCATTGACCATTAGGTAAAACTAAAACTTTAAAGCAGTAACAGACAAAATAGTCAGTCAAAGAACAAATATGAAGTCGGTAGCCAAGTAAAAATGGGAAGATGAATAAAAGATGACAATCATATTGAACATGAAACATCTTTACAAGAAGCCTACATGCTGACAAGAACCGATCTGTTTAGCCTTGGAAGATTTGGAATGAGTAACTTCAGATTGAAAGCTTTCTGAAATAAGGTAGTTATGAATAATAAACTGTTCAGGCGAAAATATCCGTATTTATAATATGTTAATGGGTTCCAGATCCTAAGAAAATACTAATACTAGAATAGGAGCTGCAGATATTCAGTTGGCGGATTGTGAGTAAAACCAGACCCTCATTCTACATTTCTTATGTACTCTTTTAGACATTCAAACATTCGATTTACCAAAATTTAGTAAAATCCTATATAGATAGCAGTGGATCACTTACTATACATTGGTATCTGTGGGTCCGAACACCTTCACTAACTTTTGTATTATCAGAATCACATCGGCTAGTTAGTTGACTAATAGTTTTGTCTTTAAATACCTACCAACTCGGGATTTTATAACAAAATTGGGGAGTAACTATCTAAAAGAACAAGAGGTTTAAGTAACAACACAACGCAAATACGGCAAAAATTAATTTTTTGACATTGATATTTTAGTATATTTTATTAAAAGTGAAAATTCTAACTTCATTACACAGAAAGGTTGATAATAAATGGCAGCACAGAAATTGTATTGATATTAATTTACTCACAAGAAGAAGTACCTACGTTTCATTTATATTAACTTTATTGAATTTATATATACATATATTTATATAAAAATATGGGTTTCATTATTCATTTTGACTCCTTAAGATTTTGAATTACTATAACTTATACAAAACTGTAGTATCTTACTAACGTCGGTGACTGTAAGGCATGCTATTTGACCTTGAATTACAGTTCTTGACAAGTGCCTGATATGATTACTAGTTATCAACGAAAATGAATCATAATATCGCCATTTCTCCATATGGCGTCCAACTAGGGCAACATTACCCGAAGTTATCGTAGTAAATTCAAGCAAACCACCATCCAATTATATCTTAAGGTATACTTGATTCAAAACCTAAGAAACTAATGTGATGAATCTATGTTACGAATAGATATAAAAATAAAACGGACAATAGGACTTGACCGTACTTTGGGAACCTGACACAATAGTAGCGTGTGTTGCAAACTTGGCGCAGTCCCAAAACTTAACTTGTGAACAACAAATGTGAAACTATTAGTTTCTTCAAGCTTCGGTCTCTATATCACGCAACTGTACTAAACTTTTATTGGCCTAAAAATAGTTCATTGAACGAGCAACTTATCTATAAATACAACCTATAAACGCCAGGAACTGTACTAATCAATCAGTAAGTGATAGCTTTAAACCCTTCATCTTAGCATCTAAATAAGTGGCTTTATAATAAAGCTTTTGATCAACAATGAAATTTCTCAAAGTATTTGTGCATTTCTGTAACTAATGTCAATACCGACTAAAACGTCTGCAAATAATCATTTTACACAGATTTATTGGTTCCAAAGGAAATTAGCAGATTCATGCAATGGACACTGTATCAAACAGTTATTAAGTACACCCTCAGGAATTATTCTGTGTGACTTGTTCGCAAACCAGATTTCTACGACAAATGAAGACAATTATAGTTTCACAGACCTAGACGGTATTGGCAAATGAACGAGTGTCATCAAACAGAATAACTTAACGATGGACATTAATAAAATGATTGTGACCGTAATAAAAACTATATTTATCTATTTACCTGAGTCTGAGCAATATAGGACTTCTAAACTGACCACTTAAAACAGCAGAAGTGATTTGGATAATCTAAGAAATTCAACTGTCACTGATGCCCGACCGAGAGCCGGCTGCTATTTTCTGTTCCTTTAGGAGTAGTATGACCATGCTCAGTGTTGAATATTTACAAAACTACTTTTTCAGCAATTATTCGATTACGACACAATCAACCCATTTAGTACATAAGGAGTGTGAATGTTGAGATCTGTATCTGTGTTTCCAACATAAAATATCATGATAAATAAGTCCTAGACAAATAACTGTTTTAGTGTAATTCCACAGTCCATGACCCTAGGTTTGATTTGATTTAAAATTTTTATGTACTGAGGGACTGTATATAATTTCGTTCCCAAACAACGTAAATTCGCGGTATCTACAAATGAGAACATGGTTGTCTTAAGGCATATTGGACGATATTATTTTACATACATATTCAGCTATTTATATTATATGGGAATATTGTGTTAATTTGAGTGGGCCACGTTCATGTCAAAACACATCATTTATTAAATTTATTACCCACCTCACCCTAAATGAGCTATTCCGAATTCAAAGTGTTCGTAAAAAACAAATATCCTTACCATACGGTTGTACATGTGTGTTAAAGATAGGGGAAATTTAAAGTATTATGACGAACTCAGGGGCCAAACCACATAAACGGATGACCGGTGAAAGTTGGCCTTTCTCGACTTCCATAGAATATTTGGTGATCATAAATTAGTTCCTCACCGTAGAGATGTTTCAGTATGTAAGAAAATAGGTGATTATAATTCCATAATATCCCAGTGAGTTTGCAAAATTATTGAGATGGCTTGTTGGGAATTCAGTAGCGTATGAGAAATTTTGATTATTCATAACTCATAGACTACTGAGTATCCCATAAAATTTGATACCGAAAATTACGATAGGTTCAGTTGTTAGCTCAACTTTATAATTCATCGCAAAGAAGATACTCGTGATTATTAGTAAATATGGAACTGACTACACGAACAGTACTTTTAGCAGCTACGTAATGATATTGATTGGCGTCATCTATTTACAGCTCTAAAATATTTTCAGTCTAATGGCTTATCGGAAAATTCCGTTCGAACTCTAGAGGGTTCTATAGAATCAATGAGACCAATTAATCTAGAAGAGCTAGAATAATGCACTGTAAATTTCATACTTCAATATCGTGATGCCGAATATTTAAAAATTATGAGAGTTCATCTAAGCTCTTAGAATCTCGCGTGCCTTGAGCTCACATGGTAAATTAAATGCATTCCGAGGTATAGTTTACCGAACGAAATGATTACCGTACAACTACATGAATTATAATTCAGTGATTAGGTAATCAAATATCAAAGATTTTCGATTTGAATGATCATTCAGTTCACAGCAGTCAGGTTGAACGAGCGAAGATTAATCAAGTAGGTGATTTTAATTATAACTCTGATTATTTTCCAAATACTCTTAATTCTGTAGACAGTTCAGTACCTCAGATAATTCCAATTTCAATCCTAATGATTTCCTTGCTAATAAAGACTCTTTAGGTTATAGTGGAACGCTTCTACGCAGAAAATACGATTTGTGAAAAATAAACATTATTGTACATCTTTTGTTTAACTGTACCAGAAACACTGCGCGCAACGTTCTCTTCGCGCTGCTGCCATCTTTATCTATTTGCAGCTCCCCATGTAATACCAACGTTCTCCTTCAATAAACAACTCAACCATGGATTTACTTTGTTTTGCTATGATTAACGGCGGGATATTATGGAGCATTTAGTGGTGAGCATAGTCAATCTGGTATCTGGATTCGATCACATTAATTTGTGAGCCGACGTTACTTCTCAAGTCAATAACGGTGAGTCTATTATTCATCTATCACCATTTTTATAATGTTGCGATACTATTAATAGTGTCTTTAATATATATTATACGTGCAACAACCTTTAGAAATGGTAGATAGCCATAATAATAGACTCCGAGTTGGAGGTCATTGCAATCTCACCTGTCTCCTCCCCGTCACTTCAGGTTGTTAGTTTATTTTACGTGCTCGATTTTCACACTAACGCTAGGTACTTGGTGGCCACTAGTGCCTAAGTTTTTGTCGTATCGTTTGGTAGCAGTAAGTCATAAGCTACGATGCTTCGATCACGCACTGTGAATGGCTCTGTCATTCCTACCTATGGTACCTGACAGCTAACTATCAACCTGAATAACCGACGACAGTATCTATGGACGTTCATCCCTTCTTATGTTCCATTAGCCATACTCGGTATCGATCTCTTACAGCACTATGAATTGCTAGTCGATTCATGTAGACTGAGTTTTTCGATACTTCGTCGAATATAAAATCCATGGTTCTTAATGCGCAAACAGATATGTACCGAATCACTAATATGTATATTTTTTGCATTACTATTTATTTCATGTTATATTCGATAAATTCCCCAAAGTGACGAAACCGAGGAGATTCAACTGGTGAATAATTATGTGGTAAGCCACATCGTCACCTGCAGACCCCTAGTCATGGCTAAACCTCGCCGACTGGCACTGGACATCTTAGTTTTCGCTATGCGTGAGTTTGACAGTTTACTTGCAATATGTATTACTTCGTCTTTCTCACAGTCCTTAATAATCCTCTCTCCACTCGGTTCGCAGAATGATGGCATTTGTTGGAGACGACATGGCGATTACGGAGCACAAAAGGCAGATATCCAATGTTCCGCCTCCGAACTTGTATACGGCACGACATTGCATCTGCCTAGGGGAATTTCTTCACACCACGGAGCAGCGATTTTATGTATATCAGATTACGTCCAACGACTATCTGCGTATATGTGAATACTGCCTCCGATGTGAACTCGAATATAACATCGACAGGTCGCTTTCCCTCGAGAATTATTTACCTGTCCGCAAGTTCTTTTACTAGTAGATTCGGTACTCAACAACTTTACGAAGGATCTTTTCACGTGATCTATAATCACGAAAAGACCTTCAAGGTTGATGGACACAGTCAGCATTGATCGTCTCATACCAGCGCACGTCAATGACAGTGCCCTACCTGGTAAATCGAGATTTAATGCTGGACTCGTCCAACTCACTAGCGGAATCCTTATTTTTCCTTCTGATCCCACGCTAGATAAACAACGACCTCATTCTCACGTCCCAGTCAGCAGCACGCGCCATCTGCACTATCTACGGATGAGACTCCAGTCTCACGTCCAGATCAGCAGACCACGCCGCACTTGAATGCGGATGAGAATGCAGGCTTACGAGGCACGCACGAGGCTACGGTTTCGCGTTCCGATCGCCGCTTACGCCCACCTGTACGCTTTCTCGACTTACTACCAATCAACTACGCGTGCGGCATAGGATTTTACCTTCATACTGCAGGCATGCTACAAATTTTCCTATTTCTTCAATTTTTTTATCCCGAGCCTATACCTCCGATCACTGCCCTGTTGGTACCATCGACTTCAGTCAAACTTGGCGAAAGCTGGCCTGATCACCCACGCTCTTGTCAATGCACTCAGTCGATTTTCCGGTTACGAATATATCTGGTATACGAATGGTTTCGCGCTGGTCGTTTCTAGCTCCTTCGCTCAATCTGGTTCCGTCCTACGTCTCCAGCTTAATCTAGACCGAATCCTTACGAACACAGTCCTCAGACTCTGGAAATGAGCCACGCTGGTGTGGCATGCCAATCTGGTAGACAAACTTGTCACCTCAACTCGAGCAGCATACCTGGCACGTTACTACTGGAACAGTTCAACGTAGAAGACTATCGGTGACAACTCGAGCTTCATCCGTCGCTTCCTGTTCCTCAACCCTTCCATAAAAATGGCCAACCAGCCTTCCCCCCCTGGAACGCAGCCGATACGTATCGAAAGTGTGAATTGTTTCTAGGAGGGGTCTGCAGAGGTGGAACGCTTCTACGAAGAAAATACGACTTTTGGAAAATAAACATTATTGTACTCGTTTTGCTGAACTGCACCAAAAACACTTCTTCGACCTCTTGAGCGCAACGAGCAGAATTTCAGAAAACTCAAGACTAAATTATCAATAATTTGACCGACATCCCACATATGGCAGACAGACAGATATATACAACGCGGAACTTCGTACATAAGTACATCGGTTCAGGTTGCCATACCACATCAGCACAGATAAGCAACTGTCAGTTCAAATCCAAGAGTGATAGCGATAGTAGAAGTATTAGAAGCAATGGAGAAGATTAGGGAGCTAAGATATGATTCGAGAAGTATAATTCAGTAAGATAAATTTAGAAGGAGAAAGATAGAGATTATGAAGAATTCAGAAGGTTAGAATTTCATAGAACACAAAGAGTGGATGCACCTGCACCATCGCGAAACATTCTGAGCCATGTCGTTCAAGGTCTCCA